TTAGTCAGAGAACCATTGGAAAACAAGCTGGGACTACCGGACAGCTCTTTCATCCTAGTTTGATGCTCTTCAGTAGTACGCACCCACCGCCAAGGCTATATAGCTAGCTCGTAAACAGTTAAGCTGGTGCATGGACACGGACTTCTTCTAATTCACGACATAGCATGACCACTAGCCAGTGTCTTCAGCGAGTATTTGTCCTCAAACCAGACCTGCTACACCCTACTGATCACGACTTCCCACTAGAATCCCAGGTTACTACCTACCTGAATAGAGCCAGTCTCCAGTAAGCATCTCATTGATATTCGAATACATGCTTTCAAAAAAAGTGACAATAATCACCTCCAAAAAATGACAATAAAAAATGGGATTTCCAGGTATTTGGGTTTATGTTTGCACAACCGACTGTTCACTACCATTCCCTGCAATACTTTCTCTAGAATTTATCGAGACCCAAGTGGAGAAGAACACAGAAAAAAGGGAAGGTGAATGAATACATATGTCAATATGCATGCAAACCATCCAAGCCAGCGATAATATCCACGAAATACCTTTGCAAAATCGAAACCTCAAAAATGCACACATCAGTTTTAAGCTACTTAAATACACTCTAAGTAGTTTATTTTGTTGAGCATATTTTACGGCTACATTCATCAGCTCAGATGACCCAAATAACTGCAAAATGTTTCCGAATCCTCATTACCCAAGTCGACTGATAATTACTATCCCATTTTGTTACATGCTTTATGTAGTTATACTTGCACACAGTTACTCTTCATTAGCGGAACAGTAAATAGAAGGAAGGAACTAATGAAAGGACAATATACGCATTTTCACAGCTTCGATCCTCTCAAGTACAAAAGAAATTTAGTAAAAATTCTCAGCCACAGAGTTAGTTAGAGCTATATGCTCGGAAGAAGTAATTGAAGATGAATTCAGCATTGTATATGATACTTCGATTGAAAATATCTATCCCGACAAATAGCTATCAAGAAACACATGACAAAGAAAGCCGCAGAGAAGGACTACTCACTGTCTGTAAACAAGAAACCACTTTTTATAGGACTACAATTCAAGGGCGATCGATATACCAGGTGAGATAATTACGAAGAAATTGAGAAAATCAGTTCAAAGAACTTTCAATGCTGGTGGCGTACTACACGTCTTATTGTCTATACGACCTATGATGATTCCTCGACTGAAAGATGAAGTACCTAGTCTAGACTAGCTGGCCACTTCAACTTGTATCTACATAGTAACTTCTTATATGTTATATGTCTTTTTATTCCCTATGATCAAATGTGTATATTCTGTGATTTGAAAACTAGCAAGGACTGTTCGACGGTAAATGAACTGAACAAGTTTCTATGTTTGTCCGTCAAGCTTGCTGAAGCGAATGCGAAGACTTCCTTCTGGAAAAGCTGTCTGGATAAGCATGAATACCCGAAAGCATTCTGAAAAAAAATTGAGAAGAAACCATATATCTCCCAATTCACGCATGCTGAGAAGACACACCCAGAATCACATTGATGCCATCCGATCCAGATTAGCTAAACTGGAACAAAACGTTTCAATGAGCTTCCACGTTCTTTACGATTTGACTGTTGATGAACGTGCGTCATTTGAACACTACGCTGATACAGTCTAAGAGAAGAGAAATGAAAATATCATCATGAAACTTAACCAAAGCCTAAAATCAGTCACGAAGGAAACAGCTTTCCCGTCTTGTCCTAAGAAATATGTATTCGTTACAGGATTTCATCATGAGCTGACATTGGTTAGAGAACCACTGGAAAACCTGCAGGGAGTACTGGAGAGCTGTTTCGTCCTAGTCTGGGACTCTTCAGCAGTACGCACCCACCGGGGTTCGAACCCAGGACCTCATGATGAAATCCTGTAACCAATCAACCAAATCCCTACAAACCAATACTTGAATATCAATGAGGTGCTCACTGCCGACTGACCCCATTCAGGTAGGTAGTTTCCTGGGGTTCCAGTGGGAAGTCGTGACCAGTAGGGTGCAGCAAGTCCGTGGGTGTGAGGACAAATACTCGCCGAAGGCATTGGCTAGCGGTTGCGCTATATCGTGAATTGGCAGAAGTTAGAATTCATGGGCCATTGGATTGGGTCCCAGTGGCTTAATGGTATACGAACCCGCTGGCCTTGTAACCAGAACGTGGTCCTGGGTTCGAAAATTGGCGGTGGGTGCGTACTGATGAAGAGGCCCAAACTAGGCTGACAAAACAGCTGGTTGTCCAGTACTCCCTGCAGGTTTTCCAATGGTTCTCTAACCAATGTTAGCTCATGATGAAATCCTGTAACCAATCAACCAAATCCCTACAAACCAATACTTAAATATGTATTCAATTTTTCTGTTGTCTCACTTTCACCGATTCAAATGCAACTGTTGTCTCTCGGACCAAAATTTTGTGATGCATCATCAAAAGTCAGTGAATTGAACACCAAAGCACAATTCGAGAATTCGATTAGTCAGACGAATGACCTGGTCCTAATTTCATATGACAATGCAGAACACTTTAAATCAACTGTTTTGAATTGCTGCCTCGACTACATCAACAAAAAACCTAGACTTCGTAATATGCTTTCAAAAGAACATCGGAAGCAACTCAAAGAATTGAAATCAAATGAAAACCTGATAATAACTCGACCAGATGAAGGTTCTGAAATTGTTCTGTTTAACAAGTCAGACTATGTGAAGAAACTCTCGTCAATTCTATCTGATGACAGCAAATTTCAAAAACAGACGATCCAAAAAGATAAATATATTCTTTGTGACCCGCCGCCAAGTTTCCCATCCGGACGTATAGAAGAACTGACTGACTTGACGTTTGTATTGAAAATCCGAATTTTGTTGTTGAGTGTTGCTGAGTGACGAAGATTTCCAGATTGGTTTCTCAGCATCGTTTCGACGGTACATATACTAAAATTGGAACGACACAGAGAAGATTAGCATGGCCCCTGCGCAAGGGTGACACGCGAAATCGTGAAGCGTTCCATATTTTTTTAAACTCGCCTAGATTACTAGCTCACTAGTTTTCTAGACAGTCCCAAGCCCGGATAAAGAGGGAGGGTTGGGGTGTGGTGCTAGCAACTCCACCCTCAAAACTTAACCAAACTGCAACAAAAACTTGAACGCACAATAACTTCTCACCTAAGGAGTTTTTACTTGCAAGACCAGCTCGCCATTTGCAATTTTCACGGTCAAAGACGACACTTCACTACACATTCCCTTAGTAACCAAAGTTATTTAGATCAAAATACGTGATATGTGCTTTATCCCATATGTGGTCGGGGTAATCAAGCAAGCTTGAGTGCATGAATGGCGCTATTTACTACTTATGAAATGATATGATTAGGCGAAGTACTTGTCAGCACCAGATAGACACGATCTAAACACGAGATGGCCATGTCACTTGTTTGGAGATGAGTTCATCATCTGGTACTACTGCTGTCCACTCTGTTTAGGTACCTTCCTTCAATCTGGCTATCAAGAACTATGAAATTATGTTGGTGGCATCTACCTACTCATATCAATATATAAGTAGTATAAAATGTCTTTGAAAAATTCCTTATGGATAAGATTTTATTTTGATAAACTGTTACACAGTGTGTGTAGTGTTATACTACAGTAATATTAACTGATGCAACCACACGCTTCGAGCACAATTTATTATTGCCACTCATAATCATATCAAGTCACTCACTGACACAACTTTTTTGCCTTCATTTATATACATGTGTGGAATTGATGATTAGAAATTTGAATACAAATCAGTAATATGGGATAATGTACATTCATAAGTAATAATAATAATATGAGTGTTACCAATCAAACACAATAAGATGGGAAATATGACCAGAATCCTTCTTTGAAGAAGAGAAGACGGGAGTAAGACAAGACAGGCATCAAATTGACCCGAAATGGACCAAAAACAATTGGACGATCTGTATTTCTCCAATGACATATATAATTCCTCTCCGGTTCCGTCCGGTGTGGTAATAACCAAGCGTTGGCAAGGTGTTGTTGTTGTTGTTAGTGTCTTCATTTTTATAATATATGTACTTTGATAACAGCGTCTCTTTTAAATGACGAAATGGGGGAAATACAACAAAGGCGGTAATATATCATCCATCCCGTTGTTTTTCGTGTCAGTAAATTTTGGTTGTTTAGTTGTATCATCCCATCCAACAAGGCGGCGGCGGCGGCGGCCAAGTTATGCATTCATTATTCATGCAGTTTACCAGAAAAGCATCTCCTACCCGTCTTACGATTTGCTGCTGTTGCTGCTGCTGCTGCAATTCTTCCTCTTCTTCTTCAATATCCCCCACATTATCAGAGTTGATTTCTTCCTCTGCCTCATGATGGTGATGCTGATGATGTTGCAGTGAATAAAAATGGATAATTAGTCTACACCACCAAATATATCACTCGCTCGCTCGCCCGCTCACCTGCATGCTTAATAAATTCTGTAATAATGGTCTTTGAATGTAAGCATCACAGCTTATATACCTCTCTGTCTTTCTCTGTAGCCACACATCATCACGCCCACACCCCACCCCACCCCAACACACACACGTTTCCCCCCTTTATTTCATTTGTATTACGTAGTTAGTTAGTGAATTAGGTTTGCATATATGTATGACCTGATATGTCTGACGGTAGTGGTGGTGGTGGTGGTCTGCAAATGAAACATCTATTCACACTAATTTACCTATTATTATTATTATTATTATTATTTATGACAAGTATCCTATTTCACATATATGTGTGTGTGTGACATTTCAATTTTCACCCCACCCAACCACACGCACAGTTCGGTTCGTAGTAATTTATACATAGGTGTTTTAACCTGGTAGTACTAGTACCCGAAATGCACCCGAAATTATGATCTAATATCTATTAATTTCGGTGTGTTTTGTGTAATTTCACTAATAAGCGGCTTGTCAGCATCAACACCATCAAGCTAAATGAAACGTCATCACGTTATCATGATCATAATATTGCAAAACATATATAAATTGCGACGAGTATAAAGTAATATACACACAGTAGTAGTAGTAGTAGTACTAGTAGTAGTAGTAGTAGTAGTAGTAGTAGTAGTAGTAGTAGTAGTAGTAGTAGTAGTAGTAGTACTAGCAGTAGTAGTAGTAGTAGTAGTAGTAGTGCTAGTAGTAGTAGTAGTAGTAGTAGTAGTATTAGTAGTAGTAGTAGTAGTAGTAGTAGTAGTTATTGTAGTAGTAGTAGTAGTAGTTTTTGTAGTAGTAGTAGTAGTAGTAGTAGTAGTAGTAGTAGTAGTAGTAGTAGTAGTAGTAGTAGTATTAGTTATGGTAGTAGTAGTAGTAGTAGTTATGGTAGTAGTGGTAGTAGTAGTAGTAGTAGTAGTAGTAGTAGTAGTAGTAGTAGTAGTAGTAGTAGCAGTAGTAGTAGTAGTAGTAGTAGTAGTAGTAGTAGTAGTAGTAGTAGTAGTAGTAGTAGTAGTAGTAGTAGTAGTAGTAGTTAGTAGTAGTAGTAGTAGTAGTAGTAGTAGTAGTGGATACATACATTGATAATGGTGAGTGCCTAATACATTTCTGTCTGAAATGTACACTATTACTCATAAATCCTTTTTCTTTTGACATTTTCGACCTCTGATCTGATGATTTTCTCAAGACTATCATTATATAACTGAATTTTTGTGTCATTGAATTTCGTAACATTTCACACTGACGAGATGTATATGTAATTTTTATACCTACCTGACTGACTCACTAGTCGAATGTATCACACTGCACTACACTACACTACACTACACTACACACATTAACCCCGTCACTCCACACCACCACACCCTCTATAAATGGTCTGTAAATTTTCATATTTCATAATAATAATAATAATACTAATAGTAATAATAGACTACTTATCACCCACCACCCTCTCCGTCTGTGACAGTTATTTGTCATCCCTCCCTCCCTCTCTCTCTCCCTACCAGGGTGGGTGTCGGGTGGTTCAGTTATATTTACCTAGTACTGCTATCACATCACATCACACCTGTGATAAAAACTACTAATTTTATTCGTTCCAATAGACCAATCATACACCACATTTATGTGTAATGTAATTCTCTGACCTGTCGACAAGCCTATGGCCATCACACTAGCTATTATTATTACTATTATAATTACTATCATTCCCATAGTTGTTTTGTAAGGATTATTATGTAATGTAGGCCTCAATTCTGGTAGTAATGATTTCCATATTTCCGTATGTAGTAGTAGTAGTAGTAGTAGTAGTAGTAGTAGTAGTAGTAGTAGTAGTAGTAGTGGATACATACATTGATAATGGTGAGTGCCTAATACATTTCTGTCTGAAATGTACACTGTCGAGGAACTTAGCCCTAAGTTCCTATTGTAATGAAGACTTAAGCGATTGAACCGATAAACACTATGTGTTTCCTTCAACTTTAAATCCAAAACACCAATATTCCTCGAACGAAATTATATTGTTTGGCAATTAAATTGAAGAAAACTACAAAGTCTGCAAACAAATGTTAAGTACAAATGAAGTTATAAAGTACTTTTATTCGTATTGAAATCCAGTCTTCCTTCAACTTGCAAGCGATCGTTCCATTCGCGCCTTCAATTGCCCGCCAATGGTTGCCAGTTCCAATAAAACAAACGTTCAATGTTCACTTCCATTGACACTCCCCGGCAAAAAAGGGTCCATCCCTTTTTTCCACAACGGCGGTAACCTTGAACTGAACTGCCAATGCGGGAACCTGGGCCAATCGGGACTAGGCTAAAATTGGAAAAGCAAGACAAAAAAGCCCAACACACAGCAAACATACCACATCACACCGACACGCTCTCCCCGGCGCATGGGGTCTACGCTGTCTGACGACAATACCACCACTGATCTCGTTCACAAAGTATCGATTGCTTCATTCCACTCTAGCCCAATCCTCTCCCCGGCGTATCCAATCGCGTACGCTGACTCTAACACTACTCGATTCGTTCACAAGTTTAGAAGCGAATTCAGAAGTACTTACAAAAGCATTACAAGATGATTCACACAATGCGACAACTATAAAATTAACCGACAATCAGATGAATCGGAACCCACTGAATTACTCAACACAAACATATGTACAATCAATACATCAAATATTGCGGATTCTGCCTTGACGAGCTACCCTTGAAGAACTGTAGGACTTACAGCAGTACGCCTACATTTCTTCTCAGGTTGACGATCCAAGTGAAAGACGTCCGGACACAAACAAAATTAATCAACAGTTAGAAGAGGGATGATACCAATTGATTATATACAACATGAACATATGTACAAAATAATACACCAAGTACGATGGACTGCTCTTCGACGTACTACCCTTGAAGAATTGTAGGACTTACAGCAGTACGCCTACAACCCTTCTCAGGTTTACGCCTTTAAGTTGGAAAATCGTCGTTGAGTTCATTTGCTGACCTCCTTCCATCATCTATATCCTCGACTCTGAATGGTAACACGCCCATGACATTGTATCGTGGAAGGTAGATGACTAACAAACATACGACGTATCTGACCAACCAAGTGAAGGTACAGAGTAATTTGCACCAAAGATAATAACATTCAAATAGTAGCTTGAAACCTGAAATACCTTTATTCGTGCAAGTCAGTCTCACAATTATCCTCTTGTACACAGTTGATTTATCGTCACTAAACTGGCCATTGACTATCGTCCCTTCGAACGGACCGACACTAGCATAATCACTGCATAAGACACGTGGGTTCATGGACGACTCTTTTACTGCATATGACGACACCAACGACGACTGGCTGACACCAGTTGAAGAACTTAGCGGTGTATCAGAAGCTGTTGTTGTTAGACCTTTAGGAGGTTGTCTAACCACAGGATTACCACCACTGCTATCTTTTATTATTGGCTCCAGTTCAGCTTTAACATCTGTCGATAGTTGGGCTACACTCGGATCATTTACCCTGACGGTCTCACGATTATTCATATCTGCAGCAACCGCATCTGCCTTTAATTCTACTTCACTTTCAAGTTGTACAGAACCTTCGTTCAACTCAGTAGTAGGCATTCCGCTAATCTCGTCATGATCAGCCACAGACAAATGTGAACTATCGTGACCATTGTCACAAATACCCACTTTACCGCCGTTTGTATGGTTGACTTCATCATTTTCAACCTCTTTAATAACAGCCGCAGATGACTTAGGTACTTCCTCATGAATCCATAGAGGTTTTATCCCTTTACTCTGACTAGTAATACCTAGTAAACTTGTGGAGTCAGAACTGGACACTGAAACTGTAACCTTCTTCTTATGCACAAACTGCGGTGTCGTCTGAGCCACTCTTTTCAACAATGGACTACCAGTTACGACTACAGGCTTCTTCACCGTATCATTATCGATACACGATTCGGAGTCAGAACACGATGACGCTGACTTCACATTTAGTTTGCCACTATACTTGTTCGTTGCTTCACAGTTCGCCTTTGTATGCACTTCTTGCAAACGAACGAAGCACAACCGTGTTTGCCTTGCAGCTTGTAACTTATCCGTTGGGGACGTCCCACTGAAGCTGTCACAATCATTAGGTTTACTAGAAACCATACAGCTTTCTCGATATCCACTACGCTGAGACCCCTTCGTCATAAATGATTGCATTTTGCTCTCTGATTTCTCTATTCCAGGGGTAGGATGCAGTATACTAGCAAACCTGCTCAAAGCTTGGTTGACACTGTCTTTCACCAGGCTCACAATGTCATCCAACCCGGGCTCTAAACACTCCTCCTCTAGACGTGAACAAACCTTTATGAACTTCCTTTGTAGACGAACAGGTAATCTCTTGGCAACAGTTTCAAGCACGGAACTTGAGTTCAATTCATCTACGCAGTTAAAAGACATGAGTGTATTTCTATATACCATCAAATTATCCAAGAACTCTGCAAGTTCCTCTGCATTATCATTTAACTGGGATCCGTTACCTTTCACTGTCTCGAAAATACTACGGGATATCATAAATGGTTTTCCAAACCTTTGACGTAGTATCTTCCTTGCCTCAGCATATCCTTCGTTCGGGGGCATAAACTTACAGCACTGTATGGCTCTTGCAGCTACACCAGTGCAATATCTCAACAAATACATTAACTTCATTTCATCATTTAATGCAAAACCACTCAGCATGATCTCAAACTCTTTGATGAACTGTGGGTAGTCGGCTGGGTTTCCATCGAAGTATCGCGGTTCAAACTTAGGCAATCTTAAACCCTTACTATCCCTTAACGGTGAAGCGTAAACATCAAACTCAACATGCTGAGCAACATACATATCATTACAATTAACAGGCAACTCATCGTTACTTACTTTTTTGTCTGCTTCCACGGTGCCACGTCCCTTTCTTGACCCAGGCATTATCCAACGTCACCAAAAAATCCAAATTGCGTTGATAATCCTTGTCCAAAGAGAAGCTGGCTGCAGATCAAGTAAGTACACCCGGAAGATTTCCAGAAGGCGCCACGAAGACCAAGAAAAGAATAAAAACTGCCCCAGATGGCAATCCAGAAGTTGAACAGAAGAATAAAAACTGTTCCCGAAGGCGAACAGACGAATAAAAACTGTCAAGGAACTTAGCCCTAAGTTCCTATTGTAACGAAGACTTAAGCGATTGAACCGATAAACACTATGTGTTTCCTTCAACTTTAAATCCAAAACACCAATATTCCTCGAACGAAATTATATTGTTTGGCAATTAAATTGAAGAAAACTACAAAGTCTTCAAACAAATGTTAAGTACAAATGAAGTTATAAAGTACTTTTATTCGTATTTAAATCCAGTCTTCCTTCAACTTGCAAGCGATCGTTCCATTCGCGCCTTCAATTGCCCGCCAATGGTTGCCAGTTCCAATAAAACAAACGTTCAATGTTCACTTCCATTGACATACACTATTACTCATAAATCCTTTTTCTTTTGACATTTTCGACCTCTGATCTGATGATTTTCTCAAGACTATCATTATATAACTGAATTTTTGTGTCATTGAATTTCGTAACATTTCACACTGACGAGATGTATATGTAATTTTTATACCTGCCTGACTGACTCACTAGTCGAATGTATCACACTGCACTACACTACACTACACTACACACATTAACCCCGTCACTCCACACCACCACACCCTCTATAAATGGTTTGTAAATTTTCATATTTCATAATAATAATAATAATAATAATAGATAGACTACTTATCACCCACCACCCTCTCCGTCTGTGACAGTTATTTGTCATCCCTCCCTCCCTCTCTCTCTCCCTACCAGGGTGGGTGTCGGGTGGTTCAGTTATATTTACCTAGTACTGCTATCACATCACATCACACCTGTGATAAAAACTACTAATTTTATTCGTTCCAATAGACCAATCATACACCACATTTATGTGTAATGTAATTCTCTGACCTGTCGACAAGCCTATGGCCATCACACTAGCTATTATTATTACTATTATAATTACTATCATTCCCATAGTTGTTTTGTAAGGATTATTATGTAATGTAGGCCTCAATTCTGGTAGTAATGATTTCCATATTTCCGTATGTAGTAGTAGTAGTAGTAGTAGTAGTAGTAGTAGTAGTAGTGGATACATACATTGATAATGGTGAGTGCCTAATACATTTCTGTCTGAAATGTACACTATTACTCATAAATCCTTTTTCTTTTGACATTTTCGACCTCTGATCTGATGATTTTCTCAAGACTATCATTATATAACTGAATTTTTGTGTCATTGAATTTCGTAACATTTCACACTGACGAGATGTATATGTAATTTTTATACCTACCTGACTGACTCACTAGTCGAATGTATCACACTGCACTACACTACACTACACTACACACATTAACCCCGTCACTCCACACCACCACACCCTCTATAAATGGTTTGTAAATTTTCATATTTCATAATAATAATAATGATAATAATAGACTACTTATCACCCACCACCCTCTCCGTCTGTGACAGTTATTTGTCATCCCTCCCTCCCTCTCTCTCTCCCTACCAGGGTGGGTGTCGGGTGGTTCAGTTATATTTACCTAGTACTGCTATCACATCACATCACACCTGTGATAAAATCTACTAATTTTATTCGTTCGAATAGACCAATCATACACCACATTTATGTGTAATGTAATTCTCTGACCTGTCGACAAGCCTATGGCCATCACACTAGCTATTATTATTACTATTATAATTACTATCATTCCCATAGTTGTTTTGTAAGGATTATTATGTAATGTAGGCCTCAATTCTGGTAGTAATGATTTCCATATTTCCGTATGTAGTAGTAGTAGTAGTAGTAGTAGTAGTAGTAGTAGTAGTAGTAGTAGTAGTGGATACATACATTGATAATGGTGAGTGCCTAATACATTTCTGTCTGAAATGTACACTATTACTCATAAATCCTTTTTCTTTTGACATTTTCGACCTCTGATCTGATGATTTTCTCAAGACTATCATTATATAACTGAATTTTTGTGTCATTGAATTTCGTAACATTTCACACTGACGAGATGTATATGTAATTTTTATACCTGCCTGACTGACTCACTAGTCGAATGTATCACACTGCACTACACTACACTACACTACACACATTAACCCCGTCACTCCACACCACCACACCCTCTATAAATGGTTTGTAAATTTTCATATTTCATAATAATAATAATAATAATAATAGACTACTTATCACCCACCACCCTCTCCGTCTGTGACAGTTATTTGTCATCCCTCCCTCCCTCTCTCTCTCCCTACCAGGGTGGGTGTCGGGTGGTTCAGTTATATTTACCTAGTACTGCTATCACATCACATCACACCTGTGATAAAAACTACTAATTTTATTCGTTCCAATAGACCAATCATACACCACATTTATGTGTAATGTAATTCTCTGACCTGTCGACAAGCCTATGGCCATCACACTAGCTATTATTATTACTATTATAATTACTATCATTCCCATAGTTGTTTTGTAAGGATTATTATGTAATGTAGGCCTCAATTCTGGTAGTAATGATTTCCATATTTCCGTATGTAGTAGTAGTAGTAGTAGTAGTAGTAGTAGTAGTACTAGTAGTAGTAGTAGTAGTAGTAGTGGATACATACATTGATAATGGTGAGTGCCTAATACATTTCTGTCTGAAATGTACACTATTACTCATAAATCCTTTTTCTTTTGACATTTTCGACCTCTGATCTGATGATTTTCTCAAGACTATCATTATATAACTGAATTTTTGTGTCATTGAATTTCGTAACATTTCACACTGACGAGATGTATATGTAATTTTTATACCTACCTGACTGACTCACTAGTCGAATGTATCACACTGCACTACACTACACTACACTACACACATTAACCCCGTCACTCCACACCACCACACCCTCTATAAATGGTTTGTAAATTTTCATATTTCATAATAATAATAATAATAAAATAGACTACTTATCACCCACCACCCTCTCCGTCTGTGACAGTTATTTGTCATCCCTCCCTCCCTCTCTCTCTCCCTACCAGGGTGGGTGTCGGGTGGTTCAGTTATATTTACCTAGTACTGCTATCACATCACATCACACCTGTGATAAAAACTACTAATTTTATTCGTTCGAATAGACCAATCATACACCACATTTATGTGTAATGTAATTCTCTGACCTGTCGACAAGCCTATGGCCATCACACTAGCTATTATTATTACTATTATAATTACTATCATTCCCATAGTTGTTTTGTAAGGATTATTATGTAATGTAGGCCTCAATTCTGGTAGTAATGATTTCCATATTTCCGTATGTAGTAGTAGTAGTAGTAGTAGTAGTAGTAGTAGTAGTAGTGGATACATACATTGATAATGGTGAGTGCCTAATACATTTCTGTCTGAAATGTACACTATTACTCATAAATCCTTTTTCTTTTGACATTTTCGACCTCTGATCTGATGATTTTCTCAAGACTATCATTATATAACTGAATTTTTGTGTCATTGAATTTCGTAACATTTCACACTGACGAGATGTATATGTAATTTTTATACCTACCTGACTGACTCACTAGTCGAATGTATCACACTGCACTACACTACACTACACTACACACATTAACCCCGTCACTCCACACCACCACACCCTCTATAAATGGTTTGTAAATTTTCATATTTCATAATAATAATAATGATAATAATAGACTACTTATCACCCACCACCCTCTCCGTCTGTGACAGTTATTTGTCATCCCTCCCTCCCTCTCTCTCTCCCTACCAGGGTGGGTGTCGGGTGGTTCAGTTATATTTACCTAGTACTGCTATCACATCACATCACACCTGTGATAAAAACTACTAATTTTATTCGTTCCAATAGACCAATCATACACCACATTTATGTGTAATGTAATTCTCTGACCTGTCGACAAGCCTATGGCCATCACACTAGCTATTATTATTACTATTATAATTACTATCATTCCCATAGTTGTTTTGTAAGGATTATTATGTAATGTAGGCCTCAATTCTGGTAGTAATGATTTCCATATTTCGGTATGTAGTAGTAGTAGTAGTAGTATTGTAGTAGTAGTAGTAGTAGTAGTAGTAGTAGTAGTAGTAGTAGTAGTAGTAGTAGTAGTAGTAGTAGTAGTAGTGGATACATACATTGATAATGGTGAGTGCCTAATACATTTCTGTCTGAAATGTACACTATTACTCATAAATCCTTTTTCTTTTGACATTTTCGACCTCTGATCTGATGATTTTCTCAAGACTATCATTATATAACTGAATTTTTGTGTCATTGAATTTCGTAACATTTCACACTGACGAGATGTATATGTAATTTTTATACCTACCTGACTGACTCACTAGTCGAATGTATCACACTGCACTACACTACACTACACTACACTACACCACTACACTACACTACACTACACACATTAACCCCGTCACTCCACACCACCACACCCTCTATAAATGGTTTGTAAATTTTCATATTTCATAATAATAATAATGATAATAATAGACTACTTATCACCCACCACCCTCTCCGTCTGTGACAGTTATTTGTCATCCCTCCCTCCCTCTCTCTCTCCCTACCAGGGTGGGTGTCGGGTGGTTCAGTTATATTTACCTAGTACTGCTATCACATCACATCACACCTGTGATAAAAACTACTAATTTTATTCGTTAGAATAGACCAATCATACACCACATTTATGTGTAATGTAATTCTCTGACCTGTCGACAAGCCTATGGCCATCACACTAGCTATTATTATTACTATTATAATTACTATCATTCCCATAGTTGTTTTGTAAGGATTATTATGTAATGTAAGCCTCAATTCTGGTAGTAATGATTTCCATATTTCCGTATGTAGTAGTAGTAGTAGTAGTAGTAGTAATAGTGGTAGTAGTAGTAGTAGTAGTAGTTGTGGTAGTAGTAGTAGTAGTAGTAGTAGTAGTAGTAGTTATAGTAGTAGTAGTAGTAGTTATTGTAATAGTAGTAATAGTAGTTATTATTATAGTAGTAGTATTAGTTATTGTAGTATTAGTAGTTGCATTAGTTATTGTATTAATATTATTATTAGTTATTGTAGTGGTAGCAGTAGTAGTATTAATGATTGTAGTAGTAGTAGTAGTTCTTGTAGTAGCAGTAGTAGTAGTATTAGTGATTGTGGTAGTAGTAGTAGTTATTGTAGTAGTAGTAGTAGTAGTTGTAGTAGTAGTAGTAGTAGTAATTCTAGTAGTAATAGTAGTCATTGTAGTAGTATTAGTAGTATTTATTTTAGTAGTAGTAGTAGTAGTAGTAGTTATTGTAGTATTAGTAGTAGTAGTTATGGTAGTAGTAGTAGTAGTAGTTATTGTAGTAGTAGTAGTAGTATTAGTAGTAGTTATTATATTAGTACTAGTAGTTATTGTAGCAGAAGTGGTAGTCATTTTAGTAGTATTAGTAGTAGTAGAAGCAGTCATTGTATTATTAGTAGTAGTAGTTATTGTAGCATTAGAAGTGGTAGTTATTGTAGTAGTAGTAGTAGTAGAAGTAGTTATTGTAGTAGTAGTAGTAGTAGTAGTAGTTATTTTAGTAGTAGTATTAGTAGTAGTTATTTAGTAGTAGTAATAGAAGTAGTAGTTATTGTAGTAGTAGTAGTAGTAGTAGTAGTAGTAGTAGTTATGGTAGTAGTAGTAGTAGTAGTGGTAGTTATTGTAGTTGCAATAGTAGAATTAGTTATTGTAGTAGTAGTAGTAGTAGTAGTAGTAGTATTTATGGTAGTAGTAGTAATAGCAGTAGTATTATTTATTGTAGTAGTAGTAGTAGAAGTAATTATTGCAGTAGTAGCAGTGGAAGTTAATGTAGTAGTAGTAGAAGTAGCAGTTATTGTGGTAGTAGTAGTAGTAGTAGTAGTAGTAGTATTATTATTATTATTATTATTATTATTATTATTATTATTAGTAGTAGTAGTAGTAGTAGTAGTAGTAGTAGTAGTAGTTATGGTAGTAGTAGTAATAGCAGTAGTATTAGTTATTGTAGTAGTAGTAGTAGAAGTAATTATTGCAGTAGTAGCAGTGGAAGTTAATGTAGTAGTAGTAGAAGTAGCAGTTATTGTGGTAGTAGTAGTAGTAGCAGTAGTAGTAGTAGTAGTAGTATTAGTAGTAGTAGTTATGGTAGTAGTCGTAGTAGTAGTTATGGTAGTAGTCGTAGTAGTAGTTATGGTAGTAGTTATTGTAGTAGTAGTAGTAGTAGTAGTAGTTATGGTAGTAGTAGTAATAGCAGTAGTATTAGTTATTGTAGTAGTTGTAGTAGAAGTAATTATTGCAGTAGTAGCAGTGGAAGTTAATGTAGTAGTAGTAGAAGTAGCAGTTATTGTGGTAGTAGTAGTAGTAGTAGTAGTAGTAGTAGTAGTAGTAGTAGTAGTAGTAGTAGTAGTAGTAGTAGTAGTAGTAGTAGTAGTAGTAGTAGTAGTAGTAGTAGTAGTAGTAGTAGTAGTAGTGGTAGTAGCAGTGGTATACACATAAATGTGGTGTATGATTGGTCTATTGGAACGAATAAAATTAGTAGTTTTTATCACAGGTGTGATGTGATGTGATAGCAGTACTAGGTAAATATAACTGAACAACCCGACACCCACCCTGGTAGGGAGAGAGGGAGGGAGGGAGGGAGGAGAAGGAAAATAAGAACTATACATTAATAGGATGGATGATAATAGAACAAGTAATTTAACTGCAGTTGTAAGCAAATGTCGTTGTTATAAATTAACATATAAAGTCATACTACTTACTAATGGCAAGTAGTATAATGTTGAACACAGGAAAGATTGAGAATGAACAGGTAGGAAAGGAATTAACACCGTATGTGTCAGAAACTTAGCGCGTTCGTCACAAAAAGCATTTCAAGCAGGTGAGTGCAAACAGTTATCAGCGAACCTACTGCCAGATAAATACTTGTAAAAAAACGAGAGAAAATGGATCCGACACACGCAAAGGAAATTATACCGGACTGGCCCTCGTGTGGAACCCGATTAGTTTGCCGTGTATCTGAGGTTGACTTGGAGGAGACTGTTTGTGCTTGCAGAAGACAAGTGTGCTTATTGACAAGCATAAGGCCAGATAAAGACAAGTGTAGAGAACAGGACAAAGTGGAGATGTTCAGATGAAACCTTTAGCTGTACTCGGAACCCAAAGGAACAATTATAATGATTTTAATAAACATACTTGAAAGAATCTAATATTTTATGAACTACTACTACTACAATAACTAATACTATTACTACTACTACAAGAACTACTATTACTACTACTAGTACTAAAATAACTACTACTACTACTACTACTACTACTACTACTACTACAATAACTACTACTACTACTACTACCATAATTACTACTACTACTACTACCATAAATACTACTACTACTACTACTACTACCATAACTACTACTACTACTACTACCATAACTACTACTACTACTACTACTACCATAAATACTACTACTACTACTACCATAACTACTACTACTACTACTACCATAACTACTACTACTACTACTACCATAACTACTACTACTACTACTACTACCATAACTACCAATACTACTACCATAACTACTACTACTACTACTACCATAACTACTACTACTACTACTACCATAACTACTACTACTACTACTACCATAACTACTACTACTACTACTACCATAACTACTACTACTACTACTACCATAACTACTACTACTACTACTACCATAAATACTACTACTACTACTACCATAACTACTACTACTACTACTACCATAACTACTACTACTACTACTACCATAACTACTACTACTACTATTACTACAATAACTGCAACTAATACTACTACTACGGTAACAAATACTGCTACTACTACAGTGACTACTACTACTACTACAATAACTAATACTATTACTACTACTACAAGAACTACTATTACTACTACTAGTACTAAAATAACTACTACTACTACTACTACTACTACTACTACCATAACTACTACTACTACTACTACCATAACTACTACTACGACTACTACCATAACTACTAATAATACTAGTACGACTACTACCATAACTACTACTACTACTACTACCATAACTACTACTACTACTACTACCATAACTACTACTACTACTACCATAACTACTACTACTACTACTACCATAACTACTACTACTACTACCATAACTACTACTACTACTACCATAAATACTACTACTACTACCATAACTACTACTACTACTACTACCATAACTACTACTACTACTACTACCATAACTACTACTACTACTACTACCATAACTACTACTACTACTACTACCATAACTACTACTACTACTACTACCATAACTACTACTACTACTACTACCATAAATATTACTACTACTACTACTACTACCATAACTAATACTACTAATACTAATACTACTAATACTAGAATTAGTAGTAGTAGTAGTTATGGTAGTAGTAGTAGTAGTAGTAGTAGTAGTTATGGTAGTAGTAGTAGTAGTAGTTATGGTAGTAGTAGTAGTAGTAGTTATGGTAGTAGTAGTATTAGTAGTAGTAGTAGTATTTATGGTATTATTAGTAGTAGTAGTTATGGTAGTAGTAGTAGTAATAGAATTAGTAGTAGTAGTAGTTATGCTAGTAGTAGTAGTAGTAGTTATGGTAGTAGTAGTAGTAGTAGTTATGGTAGTAGTAGTAGTACTTATAGTAGTAGTAGTAGTAGTTATGGTAGTAGTAGTAGTAGTAGTATTTATTGTAGTAGTAGTAGTACTTATGGTAGTAGTAGTAGTAGTAGTATTTATGGTAGTAGTAGTAGTAGTAGTTATGGTAGTAGTAGTAGTAGTAGTTATGGTAGTAGTAGTAGTAGTAGTAGTTATGGTAGTAGTAGTAGTAGTAGTAGTTATGGTAGTAGTAGTAGTAGTAGTAGTAGTTATGGTAGTAGTAGTAGTAGTAGTTATGGTAGTAGTATTGGTAGTTATGGTAGTAGTAGTAGTAGTAGTTATGGTAGTAGTAGTAGTAGTAGTTATGGTAGTAGTAGTAGTAGTAGTTATGGTAGTAGTAGTAGTAGTAGTAGTTATGGTAGTAGTAGTAGTAGTAGTTATGGTAGTAGTAGTAGTAGTAGTTATGGTAGTAGTAGTATTAGTAGTAGTAGTAGTATTTATGGTATTAGTAGTAGTAGTAGTTATGGTAGTAGTAGTAGTAATAGAATTAGTAGTAGTAGTAGTTATGGTAGTAGTAGTATTAGTAGTAGTTATGGTAGTAGTAGTAGTAGTAGTTATGGTAGTAGTAGTAGTAGTAGTTATGGTAGTAGTAGTATTAGTAGTAGTAGTAGTATTTATGGTATTAGTAGTAGTAGTATTTATGGTAGTAGTAGTAGTAATAGAATTAGTAGTAGTAGTAGTTATGGTAGTAGTAGTAGTAGTAGTTATGGTAGTAGTAGTAGTATTAGTAGTAGTAGTAGTAGTAGTAGTAGTAGTAGTAGTAGTTATGGTAGTAGTAGTAGTAGTAGTTATGGTAGTAGTATTGGTAGTTATGGTAGTAGTAGTAGTAGTAGTTATTGTAGTAGTAGTAGTAGTAGTTATTGTAGTAGTAGTAGTAGTAGTAGTAGTAGTAGTAGTTATGGTAGTAGTCGTAGTAGTAGTTATGGTAGTAGTCGTAGTAGTAGTTATGGTAGTAGTTATTGTAGTAGTAGTAGTAGTAGTAGTAGTTATGGTAGTAGTAGTAATAGCAGTAGTATTAGTTATTGTAGTAGTTGTAGTAGAAGTAATTATTGCAGTAGTAGCAGTGGAAGTTAATGTAGTAGTAGTAGAAGTAGCAGTTATTGTGGTAGTAGTAGTAGTAGCAGTAGTAGTAGTAGTATTAGTAGTAGTAGTAGTAGTAGTAGTAGTAGTAGTAGTAGTAGTAGTAGTAGTAGTAGTAGTAGTAGTAGTGGTAGTAGCAGTGGTATACACATAAATGTGGTGTATGATTGGTCTATTGGAACGAATAAAATTAGTAGTTTTTATCACAGGTGTGATGTGATGTGATAGCAGTACTAGGTAAATATAACTGAACAACCCGACACCCACCCTGGTAGGGAGAGAGGGAGGGAGGGAGGGAGGAGAAGGAAAATAAGAACTATACATTAATAGGATGGATGATAATAGAACAAGTAATTTAACTGCAGTTGTAAGCAAATGTCGTTGTTATAAATTAACATATAAAGTCATACTACTTACTAATGGCAAGTAGTATAATGTTGAACAAAGGAAAGATTGAGAATGAACAGGTAGGAAAGGAATTAACACCGTATGTGTCAGAAACTTAGCGCGTTCGTCACAAAAAGCATTTCAAGCAGGTGAGTGCAAACAGTTATCAGCGAACCTACTGCCAGATAAATACTTGTAAAAAAACGAGAGAAAATGGATCCGACACACGCAAAGGAAATTATACCGGACTGGCCCTCGTG